TCCTAGAGAGCTAAATTTAAAAATTCCCTCTCCTGAATTTGGAGCGAGCAATTGGAACGCTTTAATTTTATGGCATGTTTTTCTTAATCTCTTAGAGAAAAAGTGTTTGAGATCTGAGCTGAATTGACAAGATCCTGCAGGGGCAAAACGTTCACGTGAGACGCGGAAGCTTTGTCCAGCGCTGCCTGATTGCGGGCAGCTGCCCGGCCCCGCTGCCCAGAGCCACCAGGCATTGCCGGCGTTGTGAGCCCTTAACGTGTGCTCCCTAACGAAGGACCGGCGCTTCTGTCTCGCTCTCCTCGAGCCTGGGGTGGGACTGCCTGCGGGCTGGTTTCCTCCGCAGACCCGGTCTGGGCTGGGGTGGCTTTTACTCGGCTGCTGTGAGGTTTCCAAGGCGAGTTACTCTGCTCCAGTGTCCACGTCAGGAGTGTCTCTGAGCAGAACTTGGCTGGTGCAGTTTTACTAGCACTGACATTCCCGATCCGAACAAGCTCTAGAGCTTTTGTTCGGTTATTCGTGCCCGTCCGTGTACTGCGAATACTGAGGTTCTCAGACCTTGCAGTGACCGCCAGCCCAGCGTACAGCAGGCTTTAGTACGAGGGAAAGGGCTGTTGACTTGAGCGATCCTGCGAACACGAGGCTCCTGCTGCATCCCGAGCTCTGCAGACGTGGCTGGAGCCGACTGGCATGCTGCGGATTCTCGTTTCACGCTGGTGGATGTTTTGAAGCGTGTATTTTGTGCTCTGGTTGTTTCAGGTCCCACTATGGGAATGCAGGCGCTGGGAGGACTCTGGCTGCAGGCGCCCAATGGCATCCAGGCTCAGTGGCTCTTGTCCTCCTTTCCTTTTAATCTCATTCTAGCGTGACCGTGGAGCGAGAGCCGAGCAGCTCCGCTACTTTTATCCCGTAACGCAGCATGCTTTCTGTGCGGCCTCTTGGGGCAGTGAGGCAGGGGAGCCCTGCCTCTCCCCAGCCCCGGCTGCCTGAAGGCACAGCCCCAAGCAGCTCACGTCTGCGCCTCCCCCACCATGCTCCACTAACCCCCGTGCCCTGCTTAGGCGGCTGCAGCCAGCCAACTGGGTCTGCTTTCTTGCTGGCTTTGTTCCCGTGGAATATTGTCTTCGTGCTGCGTGTCCCTCTGCCACGCAGAGCTGGCTCCGGTGTCCTTGCAGACGAGTTGCTGGGTTTTAAAAATCCCATTGCTTATTCTCGACTGACAGCTGCCAGCGACCGTGTCGCCCTCAGCCCCCTCTGTCCATTCATCGCTACGTCCCGTGCGGGCTCCGCGGAGCTCTGACAAATGCTGGCAGTGTTTTGGGCAGCTGCTGGAGCTGGAGCCAGGCTCGGGAAGGGGCCGGGGAGCCCTGAGCCCACCTGTTCCCGCACACAGGCACCCCTCTATCTCCAGGGCGTTTTTGTCAGGGCTGTGGGTTGCTGTGGTCAAATTACAGACTTAGCTGCTGCCTGCGTGCAGCTCAGGAGCTCTGGTTAATCTGATGGCCTCTTAATCTTTCTTTTTGTCCTTTCTGTTGCCGTTTGTCATCCCAGTGAGTTTCACTTGGGAGTAAGTCATTCCCCAGGAAAGGAGGGGTGAAGCCAGTCCCGTTTCTTCGTTCCTGGCTGAGCAGTGAGCGTGCAGCGATCCCGGTGCCAGCTTGCTGGAGGGCCCTGTCTGCTCCTGATCCCGCTGTCCCTTCTGGATCTCACCCTTGGAAGTGGGGACGCAGTCCTCTGGAGGCTGTGGTAGCACACTGGGTACATTTGCCAGTTAATGTGTCAAGTCAGGACATCTTAAGAGCTGACATCCTTCTCACGGCAGGGAGTGAATTGTGCTCTCCTTGCACCCCAGCTTGGTTTGGGTCCTCCATGCCCCTCCGCAGCTGGGAGATGCCTTGGCTCTTGTGAAATCTTCATGCTCTTCCTGGCCGTAGGTGGCTTGGATGTGTCTGGGGTCCCTGTGCTGCACAGCCATCACGTCACCTTCTACACTGTGCTCCCTGCACTTGGGGCAAGGACAGTGCCTTTCCCCCTCTGGTGCAGATGGTGACAGAGGGACAGAGTTGGGGATTGTGCATGAAACTGGTGGCAGAACAAGGGTTTGGGAGAGCCCACCCTTCCCGGGCTGCGGATCCTCACAGGCACCCTTTCCTGAGGATCGCTGGTGTTTGTGCCTCCTGCTTCAGTTTCCCCACCCTTTAAAAGGGGAGATGGTGCTGACTTTCCAGCAAAGTGCTGGGAGCTGTGGGGCTGACCTGCCTGGGGGTTTCAGCGGCAGAGGTGGGAGGATGCCGTCAAGGCTAAGCGTCTTTAGTCCCCGGCTTGTATTCGATGTCTCGGAGGCCTGCTGCTCCAGGCTGCCGCTAATCTGTTTTGGGGCCTTAGAAAGCAACAAAGGCTTATCTGAGCTGCTTGCTGAAAATAGAAATGAGTGTTGGGAGGACGTCTCGGTGCGAGGCCCTGCCGACAGCCAGCTGGTGGAAACCTTCTCTGGGCTTTGCTGGGTGTGTGTAAAAGGCCGCCTTTGTTTCCTCCCAGCCCACACACTGACACCGCATTCCTCCTCCTCTTGTTGCCAGATATTCAGGGAGTCTCTCGGTGTTTAATCTGCGGGAGAACCTTGGAGGATTGGAGCCTGAGCTGTAAATCCTGGCTCTGCCCGCACAGGGCACTGGGACCTCCTAGTTGCCTCCGAGCCTCCCCGTCAGCCCTCTGTATTGCCTGTGATTTCAGGCAGACGAGTGGGAGTCGGAGGAGCTGGAGGGCTGGACTGGCCCTTGCCAGGGGAGAGAAGGCACGGAGCCAAAGCTCACCGAATTCAAAGGCTTTGGGTGCCGACTGGAGACCTGCATTGAATGGCGCTGCTCAGCCCGGGCCGGGTAATGGAAGGGGATCTATAGGCTGCAGCCAGCCACGGGGCATGTTGGCAGGGAGCTGCCTCTTGGGCCTCTCCTCCTGTCTGCTTGCCATCCCCTGGAGCTAGCTGGGTTTCTGCAGGGCAGAAAGGAAGAGCATTTGGTTGCCCTCCTGTTCCCCCCTTGCCTCCTGCCCCCCGGCGAGCCTTTCTCCGCTCGAGGGACCGGGAGCAGGAGCTGGCCCTCGCCCTCCAAGCGGCAAGTGCAAGAGTTAAGCAAGACAGGGAGTGTCTGCCAGGCTGCAGCTGGTTCAGCCGCCCCAGCAGCTCGCATGACTGCTCCGGGCAGGGATCAGGCTTCCCTGCTCCACTAACCTCTGATCGTCCCTTGCTGCCGCTCCGTGCCTTCTGCCCGTGGGTCACCTCTGTGTCACCTTGTCCTTCTGTCTGGGACCAGGGGAGGCAGTGGGTGGGGGCTGCGCTGCAGCCTGAGGCTTGGCAGCTTCTCAGAGGGGATTAAGGGGAAATTTGTTTCTGGAAGTCTGGCCCTCTGGCTGGGGTGGTTTCTGGGTGATGGAGGAGGAGGAGGAAATGAGTACAGCCATTTTCAGTCTCTTCTCCCATCAAGCCAGTTTATCCCAGGCTGGGAGACTGCTGCAAGCGGGGAGGTGCTGAGAGCTAAACACATCTTCCCTGCGACCGCGGCATGAAGCAGAGCCTTAGCCACCGCCTGGCACGGAGGGTGCTCAGTCCTTGGCATGGCGCAGAGCTGGGCTGGACAGAAAGGCTTTATGTGCCCCGCTGCGACCATGTGCCTGCTGCCAGCACCCTCGGGGTGCGGGTCCCCGCTCTGATCCCTGCTTGTCTGCAGCTCTGCAGAGCCTCACGGCACCCACTGACAGGCATGCCTGGGGCAGTGCCAGGGCACAGGGGCACCCCGTGCTGAGCAGGGTTGTGTTTGCATGCCATGGGGAGCAGGGCTTGGAGCATTCCTCCCTTCTCCTGGGTGAAAGATGCTCTCATCTGAAAGGGCTCTGCTCAGGGGACCCAGCCGAGCCGCGGGGATGGGACACCAAGCTGAGGTGGCTCCAGTACTTGCACTGCCTGGGTCTGCGGGCTGGGCTGTGGCTGTTGCTTTACGCAGCCTGGAGGGTGGATTTGGGCTGTGGCTCGGATGCGTGCTGCTGGGATCGCAGGTTGCCTTGGCTCTTTACCAAGAACGCTCCCGAGGGGTTGGTTTGGGTGGCTTTTCTTTCTGCTCTGCTTTTAGCTGTCTAGCTGAGGGCCAGCGTCTCTCGGCAGTGCTCTTCAAGGTTGTATACCCCAAACTCGAAATTGAAGACGCACCTCAAAGCAGCGAGATGCTGCTGGTTGCGCTCACCAGTGTCTCCTGGCACCTTGGTATAGGACAGTGCCTCTTTCCCCCTGGGGTCACTGGCCTGCACCCATCTGTTTTGCTCCTCTCCGTACCTGACTAGCTCAGTGAGAGCAGGCAGCAGGCGGTACGCCAGGCTTTTAAGATGTGCATGAGCTGAGACCGTTCGTGCGTGTTCAGAGGCTCCATGAAGTTGCATGTTGCATCCAGAGAGATCTGTGTGTGTTATGGGAAGCAGGGATCCTTGTCCCCAGACGAGACTCGGTGCTGTGCTGGAGACGGGTGTTTGGAGAGAGGCACACCTGAGCTTTTAGCTGCAACGGCAGCAGATGAGGAGCCGGCGGCACGGAGGCAGCCGCCTTCCTTGTTTCGGAGCTCTGTGCTTCAGAGACAGGTTTGGTTGGTTATGCTGACAGGGCTCTGACACTGCTCTCTGATCACTCAATCAGCCTTTCCGTCCTTAACTGCAGGGTTATATCAGACCAGGAAAGCAGTCATGAGCGGTCAGACTCACGGTTCGTCTCCCGTGGGCAGGAAAAAACACCAGAGAGAGGCAGTTTGGCCCTGGCAGGAGCAGGCATTGGCAAGATTCCTGCTCTCTCGCTTGAACAGGGCACGTGCCCCTGCCTGTGCTGCCTGCTCCTCCAGAGACCGGCGAGGGGCTTGGGGGGGTGATGGGGGCAGGCAGCAGCTGCGCGTGGGGGAAGGAGCGGTGGTCGGTGGGGGTTTCATGGGACGCAGAGGTGAGTGACAGGCTCTTCTCTTCCCCAGGTGTACAAGGGCTTGGACATCATCACGAACAAGGTTTCTCCCCAGGAGCAGCGTCTGTGCAGACACCACATGATCAGCTTTGTGGATCCCCTTGTCTCTAACTACACGGTGGTGGACTTCAGAGACAAAGCCGTGGCTCTGATATCCTTTCAGGCTGCAGCCTGCCTGGCTGAGCAGATACGGACTCTCCCCCTCCACAGCCAGGCCTGCAAGAGAGATCAGTGTTTGCATCAGCCTTGGGCTCCCCACGTTGCAACTAGCTCCAGTTTTCAGAGGATACTGCTGGCGAGGGGGGGCTTGGGGCTTCTTTTTCCCAGCTAATGCTGAGGGCAGCACCCATCAGGGCTGGTTGGGGAGGATCTCTGCTGCACTGCAACAGCGCTGAGCTGGGTATTGCCCTCCCTGGCAGTCCCTGGGTGTCCCTGAGGTTTGGTGGTAGCTGGCACAGGTAGCAGAGGATAGTGAGAGATGAGGGACACTTCTAATTCTGACCTGCAGCCTCAGTGGCTCCTTGGGGCTGGGAGAGTGGGGTCTGGGCCGCAGGCTGCCGCTCCCCACAGCCCTCCCTTCCTTCTGTGCATCTCTGCTTACGCTCCCTGACTGTGGCACATAGAAGATATCTTTGCCCGTGACAAGATCCCGATTGTTGTGGGAGGAACCAACTACTACATCGAGTCCCTGCTCTGGAAGGTCCTTATCAACACCAAGGTACCGTTGGGTGGCTGCGTATCCCTCCGGGAAAGGGTGAGCCCCGTGTTCAGGGCAGGCTTCCTGCAACCAGGCATGGTGCTCCCCCTGCTAGAGTGGGGCGAGGAGAACCAAAAGCCCCTCGTTCACCCCGTGGGTCTGGGGGAATCATCTTGCTTGTGCTAGCCTCGCACATGGATGAGTGGCTTGACTCAGGCCTGCCTTGTGCCCCACAGGAGAAGGCCAGCACGGCCCCTGGGCCGGTCACCGACAGGAAAGTGGAGCTGGAGCAGATGGACGGTGTCGAGCTCCATCGCCGCCTGAGCCAGGTGGACCCAGAGATGGCGGCCAAGCTGCACCCCCACGACAAGCGCAAAGTGGCCAGGTGAGCTTGGCGTGCCGGGGGCAGGTGTGCCAGGGCCCAGCACCCCTTCCCGAGGGAATCGTGTGCCTGGGAACATGGCAAGATGGGCTCTCCCAGCCCAGGCGGGTGCTCCTAGCCTCTTAGCCAAGGTGCTTGGGGACCTTGGAGTGCTGGTGTTGGGGAGCTCGCTGGCATCTGAGACCTTTGGCCATGCAGCCCCCAGCTTGAATTGCCTTTGGGGTCCAGGACAGTGCATTGCTCCTGGCTTGTGTGCACTGGGGCTGCTCCCGCTGCGGTGCCCCAGCAGCAGGGTTTATCTGGAGCTATTTAAAGAGCAAGCTGCTGTGCTGGCTAAGTAACATACCTGAGCTCTGTGGGAACAGCATGGTAGCAAGACCAGGCTTGCCGCTTTGGTGGGCCCATCCCAGCCGAGCCCTGGCCTGGGGGGAGCAGAACACCACCCACCCCATTCGCACGGTGCAGGAGGATGGAGGGTTGGGCACCCCGCGCAGCTTCCTCCACCTACCTGGCTGGGCTGGGCTGAGCTGGCGGTAATGCTTCACGGCAATGGCAAGGTTTGCCCCTTCCCTGCAGCCCTGCCTGGCTGGAAAGGGCAGGGCTGGAGCCAGAACCCCGTCCCCTGCAGGGCTTGTCCTGGTGCCAGGCAGGAGTGGGTGGCTGTGCTCTGGGCTCCTTGGGTGCCATTGCTGTGCTCTGCACTGCATTGCACCCCCAGGACCTGGGTGTGCTTGGGATGCCAGGCACGGGAGGGGGCAGAAACCTGCCCTCCCCCCACATGAGAGGGCTGGATCGCAGCAAGTGTCTGCGGTTCCCTTTGCTGGAGCCCCCAGGGCTGCTGGGGAAATGGAAAAGCTCATCCTCACCCAGCCTCTGAGCTCTGTCTGTCTCTGCTTACAGGAGCCTCCAAGTGTTTGAAGAGACGGGGATCCCCCATAGTGAAATCTTGCACCAGCAGCAGGAGGAGGAAGGTGGGGGACCCTTAGGGGGACCCCTGAAATACCCATATTCCTGCATCCTGTGGCTCCATGCAGACCAGGCAGGTGAGAGTGGGCTTTGCACAGCTCCTGGCTGGCTGAGCATGGCGATGCGGGCTTAGGGCTGACCCCCCTGCTCCTGCCCCAGCCTCCTCCCTGAACAAGGCAGGAATTCTTTTGGCATCAGTGGGCGTGACAGAGGACTTGCTCCCCTCGCCTGCTGGGCTTTGCCTTCCTCAGGTGGATTGGGAAGCTGGCAGTGCTGAACTGAGTCCTAGCATGTTGTGCAGTTGTGGGCCTCCTGAGGGCACGTCTCCAAGTGGTTGAGTGTGTCCTGCTCTCCTCCCCCCAGCTCTGGACCAGCGGCTGGAGAAGCGGGTGGATGACATGCTGGCTGCGGGACTGCTGGAGGAGCTGCGGGACTTCCACCGACGCTACAACCAAGAGAAGGTGGCCCAGAACCGGTGGGTGAGAAGCCAGCTCCCTTTCTGCTCCCAGTCCCACCTGCCAGACCCATGCAGGGCCTGGAGCGACTCTCCCTACAGCAGCTCCAATGTATCGCTGCTCCCAGCCCTCTCCTGGCAGCACCTGCTCCTGCGGCAGGGGCCGCAGCCGGGGGGGGGGGCC